ACACACACACACACACACATAAACTCACTGCTCACTGTCAAACCTGTTTTGAGAAAAAAAATTCTTCTCTGGATATTAGCATATTATAAAGTATTCACAAGAAATCCAAGAATGCAATAAAAATGTTTGTATGACAAGTTATGGGTTATACAAATGAGTTTATCTTTAAGTGACCTTCCAGTAATTGACGTCTGCAGGAAGGTTTACATTTAATTTAAGTTTGTTCATATTGTCTTTGGTGACAGAATAACAGTCATTAGCATTAGAAGAAGAAACTATTAAGGGGCTGTAAAACGATACTGACAGGATAAAGGAGAAGCAGAATGTGACTGTGCTTGTCAATCTGAAAGGAATCACATGTCCCAGCATTCAGACGGAGATATTCGATAAAAATGTAAAATGATAATGACAGAGTAAAGGAGAAACAGAATGCAATTATTGTGTTTGTCTATCTGAAAGGATTAACATGTCCCAGCATTCAAACGGAGTTATTCGATAAAAAACAACAACAACGAAACCCCCAACCAAACAAAACAAACAAACAAACAAGACAAATAATTAAAAAAACGTTCCTTTAGTATTAGTACCTATTTTACAGCACGTGCAACACGTTAGGTCATATAATTGACGTAGATTAGGGGTGTTACGAGAGAGCAACAAGCTAAAAAATGAAGAAGGAAAAAGATGAGGAAGATACGTATTTGATAGGAAAGAAAAGAAGGAACAAACTATACCTCAGCACCCGCCAGCTACCCCAAACCTCTCTACACAGGATTCAAACTCAAATTTACTGCGTGCGACTGGGAGGCGCAAACCCTCTACACCACAGACGCCAGTAAGCAGGATCCATCAACGAAAACTTTCACACCACCAGCAGAATCTGAGACAGTCTTGTAAATTATTCTGTCTAGATCTAGATATGACGTTAGTTGTATAATGATTAGGGTCTTCTTCCAATATTAATTATGATGTGACTTTGATTTGAGTATGTGTGTGTGTATGTGTGTGTGTGTGTTTGTGTGTGCATG